ATCACGTCATTACCACCAGCTCCGGCGACGATGGTGACCAAGTACTAATATTTAAACCCGCTCGTCTCATACCCGTTTATATGCCCACGCGTACTTTCCTTGGTTCCGCTTCTCAACCCTACCCGTGCCTAGCTAATCGTCCAGCCGTCGCGTTTCGCCATCGTTCATCACGGCTCAGAAGATGGATTGCATCAAGTCAAGCGAAGCCGGTGCTTCAAAGGCTCGAAGCCTCGCCATCACCGCTCGTACGGCGTCTGAGAGTCTTCTTCGCCGTTCTCCCGCCTCCCCTCGGCCCTCTCTGTAACAGTGTGGCAGCCGAATGCTGCCAAGTACAGTGCAGGTGGGCGGAAGTCAATCGCCACCTCACCAACTGTTCGTATTGGTCAAACGCCTCAACCTGCAGCTGGGCGACCAGGTCCTGACGCGCAGCCCAACACAAACCCTCGCGTGAAAATTATGAAACGCAGAACACCGAAGTTCCGACCGCTCGCCGACTTCGCCAACGACACCGACGAAATTACAGCCCTGTAACCAAGCTCGCCGTCCAATCCCGTACCGCAATAATTCTCTGAATTTCACGGCAGGTTCATTTCAAAGGAGTTGGGTTACTATTGAGAAATTTAGAGAGAGTCGCGACTTGGGAGTGCGACTCGATATTTGAATGTGCTCTATAAAATTGTACTCTGAAATTTGTGAAGTCATAGTGCAATTTCCAGAGAACTCCAGAGAGCACTCTATCCTCGTTTTCCTAGCCTAGTAAGGCTGCTATTTCCCTGCCAGCAACGTTTCACTCTCGAAGCCTCAACACATCTCGTTGCGCGCCGTCCGTCGTCTCCATGCCTCGCTCGCTCTCCGCAATTGCGCTCGTCGCCGCTGCCCTGCTCATCCTGCTCGGTACGCCCCTCTCCCTCGCTCCAATTCGCTGCTCTCTTATTTTTTGCTCCAATTCTCGTGTTCCTTTCCGCCGAGTCGCGCGCCCTCTTAGCTCGAATACTTGCGTTAATCGTGTCACCCCCTTTCCTTTCCCCCTCCTCTTCCCGCCCCCCGCACCCCCCCCCCCCCCCCCCCCCCCCACCCATGTCGTCTCTCGCACGGCGTCGCATCGCACCCGCCGCTATCGGATTGCTTCCCCCCCGCCCCGCTTCCATTGTGCTCCTCAGTCGCCTTTCGCCTCTCGCCTCTCGCCTCTCGCCTCTCACCTCTCGCCTCTCGCCTCTTGCCTCTCACCTTACGCCATTTGCCTCTCGCCTCTCACCTTACACCATTTGCCTCTCGCCTCTCCTTTCCCTTTAGGCCCCCCAACCTGAATCCCCTTATACTACTTGCGTGTGCTGCCCGACTCTTCCCCTCGCCCCTTTCCACCTTCCCTCCCACCTTCCCCATGCTCGCTATTCCAGTCGCGTTGCTTTTGTGCTTTCCATTGCGTCTGACATGCATTCTTTTGTTCCGAGGTACCCACGCCGCACATGCATGCACATCAACTCAAGAAACTTACGCGCGCACATATGCGTATGCCCCATTTGCTACCCTTGCTGTCCCACACCCATAGGCACGCGAGATCGTGGTGGGCGGCAGCAAGAAGTGGACGTTTGGCATCAGCACCTGGAAGCCCAAACCCACCGCGAAAGCCGGCGACGTGCTCAGTGCGTGCCGAGCCCCTCACATGCGCCACCACTCCACTCCAGGCGCCCCGCCGCTTAATGCGTCATACTCCTTGTTCTTCTTCTTATAAATTCCTTGAATTGCATGGCCGATGGTCTTCGCGCTTTCTCCGCCCTATCTTCAGACCCAAAAGCTACTACCTTGCGCAAATGGCAGTTCCTGCTCTCTCGTTTCCCCGTTGTGCCCCTGCATCCTGACCCATGTGTCAGAATATTATCTTATGCTCTAGCCTGTAGTGGGGTGCTCTATAGCGAGTACAGCCCTTCTAGGGATTTGCTATTTGTATCCTCATTCCTGCTAGTTCAACCCTCTTTCTTCCTTCTAATTTTGTCATGCTATCAGAGCAGGTCGATCCCTTTGGATCGATCCTGTGGGTGGGTTACCACCTCCTCGCTTCCGCTGCAATTTTTCCTTCCCGCCGTGCGCCCCGAGGCGCGCGGCGGTTCTCTGCCCACTGTGCGCCCCGAGGCGCGCGGCGGGCTTCTGCCCCGTCGTTCGCCGCGTCGCCCTCTAGAGGCGCCGCGACGGGCGACGGGGACCCTTCGCGGCCCCGCCGCCTACCTTCGCGGCCCCGCCACCTACGGTCGCGGCCCCGCCGCCTACCTTACGCGGCCCCGCCACCTACCTTCGCGGTCCCGCCGCCCTACCTTACGCGGCCCCGCCACCTACCTTCGCGGCCCCGCCACCTACGGTCGCGGCCCCGCCACCTACCTTCGCGGTCCCGCCGCCCTACCTTACGCGGCCCCGCCACCTACCTTCGCGGCCCCGCCACCTACCCGTCGCGGCCCCGCCACCCTACGTTCGCGGCCCCGCCGTCCTTACCTCGCGGCCCCGCCGACCTCAGCTACGCGACCCCCCCCGCCCTCACTTCGCGGCCTCTGCCACCCTCATCTCGCGACCTCAGCCGCCCTCACTTCGCGGCCCCGCCGCCCACTCCTACGCGGCCCCGCCGCCCTCACCAACGCGGCCCCGCCGCCCTCACCTACGCGGCCCCGCCACCTCACCTACGCGGCCCCGCCGCCTCACCTACGCGGCCCTGCCGCCCTCACCAACGCGGCCCCGCCGCCCTCACCTACGCGGCCCCGCCGCCCTCACCTACGCGGCCCCGCCGCCCTCACCTGTGGCCCCGCTGCCCTCCTTGCGCCCCGGCCCCATTTCCCGTCGCCTGTCGAGGCAACCCTCGAGGATTTACCTGGGGGAGGGGGGCGAGCGCCGCCATCCCACCCTGCCTACCCGCCATCCCCCCCTGTTTGTGTTCGGGTTTGGGGGTGGCAAGCAGGGGGTGGCGAGTATGGGGGTGGCACTTCCTCATCCCTCCCTTTGCTCCTCCTCCTCCTTCGTCTCCCACTGCTGCAGCTGTCGCTGAGGGGGGTGGATGAGTGGGAGACTGGGGTTTAGGGTTTAAGGGGGGTGCGTGGGAGTGGAGCTAAGGGTGTAGCAGCGGGTGTGTGTCGGGGGGTGGGACTGTTTGGGGAAGTTGCAGGGAGGTTGCCGTCGTGTCGCCAGCAGCACCTGTAGTCCGGGGACTTCGTCCGGTAGCCCAGTCGTAGCCAGCTGTGCCAGCCGCCCGTGGGTCCGTTGCTCGTCTGCCGCTACTTTTAGCCGCGGGGCCTGTTACTCCTGTATTCCAGGGGCTTCGCCCGGTAGCCGTTGTGCCAGTCTGCCTCCTGGTGCCCGTGTGTCTGCAGCTTCAGCCGTCGCCTCCTATCTCCTCTCCTCTCACTCTCTCTCCTCCTCCTCACTTGCCCGTTGTGACTACCACTAGCTTTGCTCATAATTGTGAACTTTAAACTATTGCTTCTTGAACTTGTGCTCAGAATGTGTGGTGACATTGTGATCCACCCTGAGCTTGTACTACTTTGCTTGCTCTGCTGATTACACCCCACTTTGGCTATGGGGGTGTGTCAGAATATTATCTTATGCTCTAGCCTGTAGTGGGGTGCTCTATAGCGAGTACAACCCTTCTAGGGTTTTGCTATTTGTATCCTCATTCCTGCTAGTTCAACCCTCTTCTCCCTTTCTTCCTTCTAACTTTGTCACCATGCACCTGTCGCATCATCCTCTGCTCCCCTACATCCCATACCTACCCTACATGCCGTGGCATGGCAGTGTTCAAGTGAAGTGGGTTCCACGACGTGTGGCAGATGAGCAACGTTGCAGCCTACAAGGCCTGCGACTTCACAGCTGCTGAGCAGAAGGCACCCGCAGCCACGGGCATGTCGTACAAGTAAGTACCACACCACACATGTCTCCTGCTCAGTTCCCCCTATGCCTCTGCTTAGCAGCAGTTCTAGCTGACTCCTGTTGCCTCTCTCTCTCTTGAATGTGCATCATGTCTTTCGGATTCCTTTGCGTCTTGCATTGCAACCTTTGCGCCTGCCGCCAAGGGCCAGTGAAAAAGGCTCTGCTTGCTTAGGACGCCCCATCTCGTTTTGCTCGTCACAGCTCTTAATCCTGCCTATTTTGCCCGACTTGCTCCCTTTTTTTCAGTTTCACGGTGCCCAGTACAGCGGCGGGCAGCATCCTGTACTTCGCCTGTGGAGTGTCCGGCCATTGCGCGGGCAAGATGAAAGTGGCTGTTTCCGTCTAGAAATGAGGCCGTTGCTCACTATGCAAGAGTAGCGTTTGTGTAGTTGAGCCACATTTTGGTGTGGATTTGTGTTGCTTGTATTGTACCGTATGCCTGATGGTAGCACGTCGTCTTCTGCAGGGCACATACTTTTCTTCAAACTATGTTTGCGTAGTGTATATTTGGTTCAGCTAGGTTGCTTGGATTTGAAATACATTGAAGCTAGTACAACATTGCTAATATGAACCACGTTTGCATTTCTGAGATGAATTCTGTTGAGTTCCATGGTATCAGTTAGGATAGGAGCTCCGCTTCCGCTTCACCTCACCCTAAATGAGAAGATGGGAGTGGGTGACTTGAAGGCCTCGTGATTGATTACACTTGCTCTCAGTGGAACAGCGTGGGAACTCCCATCTTCTCATTCAGGTACAATTCATCCAACCATTCCTTTTCCACTTGTACCGTATTTGCCCGAGCAAACAGCAACCAATAGTACCGGTAACCCCCGGGTCCACAATACGGGTGGGGTCTTAACCAAAGCCATGCATTTCTGATTATCAGACAAGGTACCCTGGAGCATTCCTTACAGGTCAGACATGCAAAAAGGCCAGTCACGTTATGCAGAATACCTGTCACACCATGCAAAGATCAATCACGTTATACAGTCAAAATGCATTCATGTGGCACTGGCAACAATACATAGGCTCTTCAAATTCTTGGATATCCTTCTTCCAGCCTGCACCCCTTTTCCTAGGTATCTGCTTGCTGCCTATTTCGTCGGCCCCTTGTGCTTTGCTTTCTCCTGCTGCAGGTGCCGAGCAAACGTCTCGGCTACGAGCAAGGGGAAGGCAATGGTGGCATCGCAGAACACCTGGTGGCACAGGGGACCATGGGATGGGCACAAGGCAGACATGAGACGTGGGGGGAGGGGTATGGCAAAGGAAATCAATAAGGGGAAGTCATTGCAAACAACAGAGGAGTTCAATGCAGGGGTGGTGGTGAGTCAATAAGAGGGAAGGCAGTGGGAGCAGCAGAAAAGGAATGCGGCAATTCAGTTTGGTAGTGACTATGACTCAGGTTGATGGCGCCTTCACCCACTGCATCTCTCACCTTTCCCCAACTGGCAGCTCCGGACAAAAACTGCGCCCACGAATAAGTACCATCATGCTCACTAACAAACCTCTTCCTTGTTGTAGTGCATGGTGGCATGGCGCGCAGCCTTCAACTCTTCCGTGTGCATCGCAAACTGACCTTGACAGCCTTGGCCTCCACACGAATCTTCCCCCAGCTGACTGCCTCATCAGCCCTGGCCCTCGAGTCTATTATTGAGGCACCTCAAAAGCAGTGGGAACTGACCTTGACAGCCTTGGCCTCCACACGGATCTTCCCCCAGCTGACTGCCTCATCAGGCCGGGCGCCGGAGTCGCTGCCGTCGAACTCATTGGCGGTGTTGATGTACACGGCGTAGTCTGCACCGTTGCGCATCATGTTGGCGTTGCAGATGTGGTGCTTTGGCAGCCCGCCCCCCAGGATGATCACGCCCGTGCGCCGCGGGTCCGCCTGCACCGCCTCATCGTCCATCCGCCGCACATCTGCGTGGAGGGGAACACGTATTTGGCGGTAGGTTGAAGAGCGATGAGGGAACCACAAAGAGGGAAGCGGAGAGTGAAGGGAGGAGGAAAGGGGATGGGGGGGGGGGGGGGGGGGAAGCACGTAACCTGGAAATGCAGAAACAAGGAATGCAGAATTCCCGTAACAGGGAAGAGGAGACGGGGAGGGGGAAAGCGATGCAATGCATGGGCGCGGCAGCACCGCGTCGAAGAGGCGCAGCAGCACCGCGTACAGCAGGTGCAGTGATGCGCTGACCTTGCACGAGGTCGAGAACGAGGCCGGGCGAGGAGTAGGAGTGGAAGTAGAGCATGTCGCCGATGGACCCGTCCGTGATCGCCGGACAAAACACCGGGATGCGGTTCTGCACGGTGCAGATGGGTGGGCGGTGGGGAAGCACGCAGGGAAACAGCAAGGATGGCGGGATAAGTGTGCGCACGGGAATGGCACATGAGGCTGAGGCTGGGGAAACGCTATTCAAGAGGAGATGCTCATGTGCGTGCAAGGGAGCGCAAGGGTGTGAGGCTGGGGGAGCTTTAGGGAAGATGCCAGTGCGTGAGGGGGGTGCAGGTGTGCGAGGGGACGGGGACAAGAATGAAAATGTGGGTGAGGAGGATGTGCGGCGATGACGGACCTTGTGCGCCCAGTAGAGCACCGACTCCTCGTGCCCGATAGCTTCTCCCAAGCATAAAACAATAAGATAAAAAAGAAACAAGCAATAATGGGTAAGCATATTCGTTGTACTCTCACATTCACTATGTTGTTCCCTCCTGGCACCTTGTAGATCCTTCGGTGGCCTCTTTACGGTCAGCATTAGGCTCAACGCGAGTGGCAGAAGACGATTTGGACCACTATTGCTTCTCTTGGTTTTTCTCCATCTTCAGTTGACCCTTCCCTCTTTGTCCACTCTAGTTTGACAAACCTACACCGAGGGAGTGTTGAGACAGTAGACCTTTCAGTAGATAGCAACCATGGACGTTGAGATGGCATTTTGGAGATCCATAGGCTCGTACGTTGACGAAGTTTTCCCTCTCTGTGCAAACATACTCGATGGCATGTGCATGTTCAAGGTAAAGCGGCAGAATGAATTGCCGCTTGTATTCAAGGCACTCTACATGGCTAGAGGCTTCAGTTAGACTACTTTCATACCTTCTCGCCCACTTTGAAGATGACTATTTTTGTCATGCTACTACACGTCCCAGCACATCGAGACTACGAGGTGCTCTCAATAGACTTCTACAACGCCATTCTTTAAGATAGTTTGCATGAAGAGATATGGCTCTGCCATCCTTCTGGCTTCACTAGTAATTACCCTAATAGCTCCGCGTGGAGCCTGGGATGACCAGACTACGGACTGTGCTAGGCACCTTGCGAGTGGCACAACACCCTACGCACCACCTTTGGTGACCTCAAATTCCGTCGTACGTTCTGGCCCCACTCCTTTCTTCGTCCTCGTCTAAGTTGACGACCTGGTGTTGGCTACCGCAGACAGAGTTTCACTAGCTTCAGTGAAGTCTGAATCGCACAAGGGACACACGTGCACTGACATTGGCTTGCATATCACTAAGGACAAAGCCGCTCACACCATCACACTGACTCAGTCACACATGGTGTAGCAGGTACTTCAGCGGTTCGAGCTTCAGTTTTCCTCCACATAGCCCACCCCTCTAGCTATTGGCTACAGTGACTGATTTTGTTCTCGACGAGCCTCTTGAGCCTAGTGGTTGCTAAGCAGAGCTTGTGGGTTGCCTCATGTACCCGATGGCATGCACTTGTCCGTACCTTGCTTATCCTCTTAACGTCCCAGCTTACTTTGTTTTGACTCGAATACACCATCTTGTTTACCGGATGGGTGCTAGGAGAGTTGCAAAGTACCTGATGACAATATTAGGCATGGGGCTTGTGTTTGGAGGGACAAAGCCAGTGTGGCTTACCGGGCACTACGACTTGTGCTGAGCGAACAACGAGGATACCAGCGGGGGGACTTAGGGGTACTATTTCAGCTTCGGTTCTAGAGTTGTGTTGTGGAGGTCTACTCGGTTGTTGTCTGTGGTGCAGTTTAGTGCCGAGGCCGAGATCTACGCCGGTGCCCTACTCAAGAGCTCCGCTAGCTGACTTTCTTTTCTTCTTGTTGTTTGCTGACAACAAGGCCATGATTCTCCTATGTCAAGAGCCTCTACTGGAGAGCATAGTGAAGCACATCAGCATGTGATACTTCATGCTACAAGAACTGCAGCGACGCGGCCAGGCACGTTTGGTCTTCGTGGCCTCGGCAGCCGACGCCGTAAACATCTTCACCAAGGCCCTCTTGCCTAGCGACCACCTCAGGTTCTCCTCACAACTTGGCTTAGTTCAAACATGACCTCGCTTGCTGTAAGGCTTACCTCTTGTTTCTTTGTTTATATATATCTCTATAAACTCGCTATCTGGCTTTGTGGCCTTTTGTCTCTTATGCTGGCTAGTCATACCACCTTGAATTGCTTCCATTGTTTTGTTAACTAGTCTTGTGTTATTTGTTGAACGCCCCTCACGTAGCCTATGGGAGTGTGCCAAGTCACATATATGTGATGCTAGTTGTTAGGGTACGGTGAGTTGCTCTTTAGAGAGTATGAACTTATTAGGGTTCATACCGTATCGCCCCGGATATAATCGCAGGCCAATTAAACGCACATGCGCTTCTATCTGGAGCAATGCGGTTATGGCCGATCCTCAATTAGAAGCGCACCCTCTTGTGAAACTATGAGCAGAGGAATGAATTGACTAAGTCAGAGTTGGGTACAAATACAACCCTAGCAAACTGTACCCCATATGTGCTACCCCACTATGGCCTACAAACATGCATCAGCTATAATAATCTGACACACCCCCATAGGCAAAGTGGGGGAGAACAAGGGGTCACAAGACCAGTCAAGCAAAGCAAAACAAGCTCAGGGTGGATCACAAAGTCACCACACAGTCCGAGCACAAGAGCAAGGCCAGAGGCCAGTTCACATGCAGGAGTAAAGACATATATATAAAACTAGACAAGCAAGAGCAGGTATATATATGTCAAAGTACAAGTAAAGTCAAGAAGAGAGCAAGTGAGGCAAGACAGGTACAAGACCCAGCTGGGTACAAAAGCGCTGATGGTCGCAAGGCGCAAGTGCCTTGGTGAACACATCAGCAGTGTTGGCCTCAGAGGCCACGTAAGCAAGTCGCAACTGACCACGCTGCTGCAGCTCACGAGCAAGGAAGTAGCGGAGAGCAATGTGCTTCGTTCTGTGCTCCAAGCGCTGCTCTCGACACAAGGCCAACATGGCCTTGTTGTCTACGTACAGCACTGGAGGAGAACGAGGCAGCTCTCCAAGGTCAGTCAGCAGGTAGGTGAGCCAGCGAAGCTCCTGTGCAGCCATGGCCCCGGCGTAGATCTCAGCCTCACAACTGGAGCCGAGAACCGAAGACGAGCGAGTAGACCGCCACGAGACAGAGCCGGAACCAAGGCTGAAGGTGTAACCCTGTGACGACCGCTGCGTAGCCTGGTCGTCAGCCCAAGAAGCGTCTGCGTGCCCAGTAAGGACCACTGGACTCCGCCCTCCAAGCACTAGCCCCATGCCCGACGTACTGCACAGGTAGCGCAATACCCTCTTCGCTGCAGCCATGTGCTCTGGTCGGTGTCTCCCAGGAGCAACATAGCGTGCAAGGATGCTCAGAGGGTATGCAAGGTCAGGTCGAGTGCAGGTCATCAGGTACATGAGGCAGCCAACAAGCTCTGCATACGGACCACTCGACTCTACGGACTCATCCGAAGGCAGAGCTGAGAGTGAGTGGCGAGTAGGCAGAGGAGTGGCCTGAGGCGAGGAGTACGTGAAGCCGAAGCGCTGAAGGACCTGCTGCACCATGTGTGACTGAGTCAGGGTAATGGTGCGGCGTGCTCTGTCCCGAGTGATCTGCAAGCCAAGGTAGCTGCGCAGTTCACCCAGGTCTGTGCACGTGTGTCTCTTCAGCAGCTCTGACTTCACGTAGGCGAGTCCAGCAGTGTCCGCTGTGGCAAAGACCAAGTCGTCGACGTACACGAGGATGTAGAACGGCGGCAGGGAAGTGTCGGTGCGAAGAAACAGCGACGGGTCAGCAGTAGAAGGAGCAAACCCAAGAGCCGCAAGCGTAGTCCTCAGTGTGTCGTGCCACTCACGCGGTGCCTGGCGGAGACCGTAGACTGGCCGTCGGAGGCTCCACTGGGTGCCAGGAGGGAAAGTCCCAGTGAAGCCAGGCGGACGGCGCAGCCAGATCTCCTCGTGCAGGCTACCCTGTAGGAACGCAGTGCTGAAGTCGAGAGAGTGAAGCTCGTAGTCGCGCTGAGCGGCAATGTGCAGCAGCACCCGAAGAGTGGTCATCTTCGGGGTGGGAGAGAAGGTCTGAAAGTAGTCAACTCCCTGCCGCTGACTGAAGCCACGAGCCACATAACGCGCCTTGAAGACAGGCGGCGAGCCCGGCGGCCGCTTCACCCTGAAGATCCACATGCCACTGACGATGTTCGCCCCAGGAGGGGGAACCGCGTCAACGTAGGTGCCTGTGGACTTCCAGGAAGCCATCTCTGCATCCATAGCTGCCTGCCACTGAGAGGAGTAGGGACCCTCTACGGCCTCCGCGTAAGAACGCGGAGTCGGGATGTCTAGTGCATCCGGGTCTCCCTCAGGGGCTAGCAGTACAGACGCGAGACGAGGTGAAGCAGCGGCTAGACACTGGAACTCCTCCTGCCTGTCCTCTAGGACGTCCGTGCCAAGGGCACACTCACCCCCGACGGACGGAGGACAGGCGGACTCAGACTCAGCGACAAGACGAGCAGCGTAGTCTAGACGACAGCGCGCAGCAAAGTCGACAAGCTCAGTGACAAGGGCAGACGCAGCAGACGACTCGAAGGAAGGGTCAGTGACAGCAGTAGCAAGGAGACGCGTGACAGTAGGACTGGCAGCACGAAGAGAGTCCGACTCAGGGTCGGCAAGAGCAGGAAGAGAGGAAGCAGGAGGAGAAGGCAAAGGGGCACGCAGAGGAGCAGTGGACGGACGCAGTGACATCCGGTGCGTGCCAGGGACAGGAGGAGGACGCTGACGCGACCCGCGACCACTAGCGCGCTCAGTACGAACAGGCGACGCAGGACGAGACGCAGGCTCACGACGCTCAGTAAGACCTCCAGTCGGACCAGCGTAGGGAGAAGGAGCAGGCAAAGGGGAGGCAGGCTGAAGCTGTGGCTGTGACCGGACAGGCTGCGGACCCTCTAAGGAAGGAGGAGGAGGTGTAAGACCAAGAACCTGCTGCAGGAGCGGAACGAAGTACGGTCGAGGCCGCGCGGCGACGCGAGAAACAGCAGGAACAGCACCAGCACCCCCGGCAGGAGCACCCACTCCAACAGCACCTCCAGCAGAACCACCAGAAGCTCCAGAACCTCCAGCAGCAGCACCAGGAGCATCGTCAGTCGGACCACCAACCGCAGGCTCAGCGCCAACGTCCTCAGCAGGACCAGCTCCAGGAGAACACTCAGACCCAGCAGCTCCAGCACCCACAGGACGAGCACCGCCAGGTCGCGTGGCAGCAGCGCCCTCCGCAGCCGAAGAACCACCAGCACCAGCGGCACGCCTCCAGCGCCGGGCAAACCACTCACGCAGCTCCTGTGGAGAGAGCGGCTCCCGGTGAGACGAAGCACCCCCAGGCACAG